GTTAATAAGCAGAATAACAGATGAGTTTCCGTTTTTTCTGCCTACAGAATAAACAGAAAAACGAAATATTCATCGTTTTTCTGATGTTTCGTTTTCTGTAATAAAAGGAATAATCAAATGAACGGATGATACACGGACCGCCCCGCCTAGCATTACGAACATCCTGCTAAAAGTGAAACTGGAAGTTGTTGGCGTCCATATTTACATCTTAAATCCGTGTTTTTGGAGTTTTAGATGTGGTGTTTTGTCGGTTTTATCAATTAAGCTAAAAGACTTTATTTAGAGTTGAAAAGGAAATTATTATGTTGATCTAGATCTAGTTTTAAGGAAACCGATTATTCAATTCAATTCACCTTTTAATTAGGCAAAGTTATTAAGAAATCTTTTTTTGTCCACTTGATTTGTCAAATTATGGATAAATTGCACAAAATCGATCACTCATTGAGTGCGTGCTTTGGGTTGTCCGAATCAGAAGCGCGACGCAGGAGCCGAAATATTGACGGTCCGTGTACGTTTTGTTCATTTGTTTTCCATTTTCAAACGGAATAAAGGAAATGGAGAAAACGGCCGTTTTTCCGTTTTTCTTTTGCTCACGAGAAAACGAAAAAACGAGATTTTGGCTGGATTTTCGTTTTTTGGTTTAGGGTAGGAAAACGGATAAACGACTTTAAAATTCATTTTACACATGTAGGCGGTGCTGAAACGCCCACTTTCCTCTAATTGGTTAACCAAATCTGCGCTGTTGATGTCACCCTCAAAATAAAAGCCTTACACGCAGGCTTTTAATTATTATTATTTAATTATATATATAAACAAAGTTTACATATTCTATCATGTGAACCACACACAGTTAGCAGGCTTACATTCATTGCGTATGTATAAATTAAATAAAAACGTAAATCAGCAGTATTCTTAGACATTTGTCATTAAAATAAGGTCATAGTTCACTGCCAAGCTTCTTGCTGCTGTGCACCTGATGCAGAGCAAAGACAGCCATTTCCGAGCAGCACCTGGTTTACATGATTGTTTCAGAGCTATTGTAGGCCTAAATAATAGCCTACTCTGTATAAAATAATAATTTATTATTATTATTATTATTATTATTATTATTATTATTATTATTAGGCCTATTATTATTAGTATTGTTATTATTATTATTTACTTAGTTATTCAATGGTTGTAAGAACACATTGGACCCTGCATGGGGCTATAATAAATGGTACCATTTGTTTCTATTGGATTTTCTCCTATTTTAATTTAATATATGCCTTTAGCCTATTGTAAATATTTATTTGATAATTAATACTTTTTTATTGCAACGTCAAAATAGGCCTGTCTTATTATTATTATTTTTTGTTATTATTTTGTCGTTGCTGTTGTTATTATTATTGTAGCAGGGACATAGCCACAGGTGTGGCAGAGTGTGCTGGTGCCACCCAAAGTGGCATCTTGCACCTGAAAATAGATGCCTTCGCGCTCAAGCGCGCGCAAAAAACTTGCATAGGCAAAAGTAATGATGAATGTGTTGAAGGAAAAAAAAACATTCTAATTATTTGTTAATAAAATAGTGCAACATTATTCTCAGTCAGTGCAGGCTGAAAAAATTAAGATCGCCAGCATTTCAAGGGTGGTTTTATTTTTAGTTCATTGCTGTGACGCGCTATATTTCACTAAAAGGCTGCATGAGACTGCGCATCTTGCTTATTTTCTCTATTTTACATACAGAACATATACAGTCCAGGTTCTACCGTTCTAGTGAGTGTGGGGGATTGCTTTACAGTGGTAAAGTGGATTATTTCTTGGCAAATTCATAATGATTCACTTTGTTTAGTAATAAATTTCATAGTTATAAAATAACTACATTTCAAGAATATGTTAACACTTTCAACTATTTAGGATTATTTATTGCATCAAAAGTAATTTCAAAGTAACATTAAATGTATGTATAAACTGCTTAATTTGTGTGTGTAAACACCCTAGATGCAAAAAGCTTATTTAGACCAGAATAGGCCTACTAAATGCAACGGTCAATGTATGTAAACTTATGACCTAAAATGTCTTAAATGACTAAATTTAAGTCTTTTTAAGTTTTTAAATAATTTAAGTTTAACATAAATGATTTAAACTTTAAACTTCAAATTAACAGAGTATGGCAAATAATTTTTTTATTAAATGGAGGTCAGGTGTCTATCTTAATAATAATTATTAAATATTATGACACTATAATTCAGTGGTGTATTGGAGAGTACGCACCTTTTAATTAATTAATTTTAAATAAGTGGTTTATCCTAAATAAAATGCAATGGGATCGGTGTGCAATGAATAGTTTGAAAACCCCTGGTTCAGACTAGACGAGCTAGCTGTCTGTGCGCTGCGCTAATAACTTGGCATTTGCTCTTTTCGGTGCTGCCAGATGCATTTATAGTGCATAAAAAATAAAAAAGGTAATTCGGTAAAGCGCGCGATGCGCGCAGAAATAAGCGCACTATATGCATATGTCGAATTAAGTTCTCTTTTTCTTTAATCAAGACTTTTCCATTCGAGGAATTACAGTTATTAATAGCTTAGTCCTTATAAACGATCAGTTTATAAAATACACAATTTACGGATCAAGCCTAATGAAGAATAAGAAGAATATGCAACGCATTATGATCCTTGAATGATCAGAGCGCATTTATATAAACTATATATTTTATATAATCCATAAATATTAAAAAACATTATACATTTAAAGTAATGGAACATTATATGTTATAAAATCTAAACTATTATTTAGGCTACAGGCTAAATAAAGGCGCCTTTCGGGGCTGTTCATCGCGTGCGTCAAAGAAAAGACATGACACAATCTCTATAAAAACTTGTTGTTTATTTACAATATCTAAAGGGATATAAAACATCTAACATGCATCTCCATTCTCAACGAGTTTCTGTGTTCTGCATCCTTCACAGACCGAGGTCTCATTCCGAGGTAATCTGTAAATATTCTCATTTGGTTCTGGCACATTCTTGATTAAAGGTGAAACTGACCGGCGCAACGGATGATTTGTCATCTAGAGTGACTACTGTTAGAATACAGGTTATGGAACTATTTCACTTTAATTTCATATTATTATTTTATTAAACAAACAAACCAGTTTTTGGCTCTGCATGCAGCGTATTGGATCTTTGAAGCATTGCACTTGAAATGTTATTCCTTTTTTTTTTTTTGTACTTTTAATATTTTTAATTATACAACACAAAATTGGTTCTAAACAGATACATTTTCCTATAGGCTATGATGAAGTGTATATTTTTGTTCACACAGGTCCTATACAAAACTGTGTGGATGGATGATTTGTTTCTCCGTGAAAATCACTCATTTAAGCAAAACTGGCCAAAATGTTGTTTAGCTTGCGTCAAACTGGATGGACAATTTACAAACATATTGAATACAAAGGCTGGTTATTTTATGCAATGAGGGACAATAGGCCTATTACAAATTAAAGAAAATTATTTGCATATTTAGATAATGTAAATAAGCATCAAGTTTTTTTTGAGATTGTGTGTCTAATTCAGTAGTGTAGTGCGTTCGCGTGGGTTTCCTCCGGGTGCTCCGGTTTTCCCCACAGTCCAAAGACATGCGGTACAGGTGAATTAGCCTATAAATTGTCCGTACTGTATAAGTGTGTGTGGATGTGTGGATGTTTCCCAGAGATGGGTTGTGGCTGGAAGGGCATCCGCTGCGAAAATACTTGCTAAATAAGTTGGCGGTTCATTCCGCTGTGGCGACCCCAGATTAATAAAGGGACTAAGCCGACAAGAAAATGACTGAATAATGTGCAATACTAATTTAAAATACGTATCACTAACCTTATATGTGAAATAGCAGGGCCTGCTGTAGCACTTTCTCAAGAAGAGCAATATGTCAAATTATTAGCGCAACGCACATGTAGCGAGCTCATCTGTTTGTCGGAACTATACTAGACACAATTTTTTTTATCAACTATAATGTGTTTAATTAGTTAATTTGAAATTTATTTCATTATTCCAGCAATAATTGTTGAGTGAAAGAATGCGCTACAAATATGCATTGCGGCTCCCTTTATTGTACAGGCTTATTGCACTTAAACTTTTTTAGGTTCGGCTCTCGAATTAGTAAGGTTATGAGTAAATGTTATTTAAAATATTTAAAGCCTGCCATCTAGCCTACAATAACAGCAAATTTAATAATAATAAAAATAATAAGACAGGCCTACTTTGGCGTTGCAATAGTATTAATTATCAAATAAATAATTACAATATATAATTAAAATAGGAAGAAATAAATGAAAACAAATGGTACCCTTTGTTTTTATAGCAGGGCCCAAAGTGTTCTTATTCTGGTTCTGCTAACAACTATTAAAAAGAAAAAAAAAACACACCAAACAATAAAAACACTAGTAATAATAATAATAATAATAATTATTATTATTATTATTATTATTGTTGTTGTTATTATAAAGCCCTTGCTCTGAAACAATCATGTAAACCAGGTGCTGCTCGGAAATGGCTGTCTTTGCTCTGCATCAGGTGCACAGCAGCAAGAAGCTTGGCAGTGAACTATGACCTTATTTTAATGACAAATGTCTAAGAATACTGCTGATTTACGTTTTGATTTAATTCATACATACGCAATGAATGTAAGCCTGCTAACTGTGTGTGGTTCACATGATAGAATATGTAAACTTTGTTAATATATAATTAAATAATAATAATTAAAAGCCTGCGTGTAAGGCTTTTATTTTGAGGGTGACGTCACGAGCGCAGATTTGGTTAACCAATTAGAGGAAAGTGGGCGTTTCAGCACCGCCTACATGTGTAAAATGAATTTTAAAGTCGTTTATCCGTTTTCCTACCCTAAACCAAAAAACGAAAATCCAGCCAAAATCTCGTTTTTTCGTTTTCTCGTGAGCAAAAGAAAAACGGAAAAACGGCCGTTTTCTCCATTTCCTTTATTCCGTTTGAAAATGGAAAACAAATGAACAAAACGTACACGGACCATTGACGCCTGGCTTAAACGAGAGGCGCGAATGCCTTTGTTGATTTTACTAGTTGGCATGAACGATTCCGGGACATCAACATTCTTCAAACAAATACGTCTTATCAACGGAGAGGACTTCAACCTTAAACAACGGCTTGGATTCAGAGAAGCAATTTACGAAAACATCATACAGGTGGCGGTTATAAAAGCCTTTATAAAATGATGAAATCTTACAATAGCCTCTATAGGCATAAGGTTTTCATTAGAGATGCTAATGTGTAACAATTTTATGAATTATACATTGATGATGGCGGGGGTCAACTTTTTTGTTTAGTAGCCTAACGCATGCTTCAGTGAATCAAATTTGAGAATGTATTTAAATTACATTAATTTATTAATAAAATGTATCAGTGTTTTGAGGGATATTTAGTGACTATTTTAGAGGTTACTATTGGTCAAACTATACAAAAAATGTGTCTAATTTATTTTTTTTTCGGCCATATGCAGATATAAACACCTATATTTTACAATAATGTCTGTTGGTGCTCTAGAACTGCCAGTATCAGACTGTTGAATGATATTTTTCATTGATTGGAGCGATTATATATTCACAATGATAAACTGTTATGGGGGTATAATATTACTGTACATAATATTTATACATTTTTAATTTATTATTATTTATATAGTTCAGAGATCAGAGAAAGCTATTTCTTACTATTAAAGGGCTGACACCCCATATTGTTTTGATGCCCTTCAGGGGGGATCAAGCGTTAATTAGGGGGTCAAACCCCCCTGTAATTACATCTTCATTACTTTACAAAAAAAGATTGCTTTACCTTATTAAAAAATAAAGTATTATACCTAAATTAATAAACTACCAGTACATTTTACTTGTAGGCATACAACTAAAAAAAGCAGCTCTAAACTATTTTAATTTCAACTAAAGTTACACCAAAGTACACTTAATGCACTTTTTTGTGTTATTGAGTTACCTGTGGTTGCATCGTCATTAACTCCTACTCCGATCTCATCTGTGAGCTCAGTGTAAAGGTGTGTGCTTATTAATATTAAGGTTATTTTTGTCTAGTGTTCCCTGACTTCTACAGTAGATACAGTTAATTGACTTATACACTTATATACATACTTTTTAAACATTATAAGCTCATAATCCTAAAATATTCAAACCTTAATATATTTAAAACCTAAATACCTTGAATGGCTTATTAAACTAGAAATGTAATGTTAAGTTAACTTTAAGGAGTATAAAAACTACAACACTTTACTGAGTGTTGAGGTGGTTTTATATTCTGTCATTCTTTCATTTTTTTAACTGTGACAACTTTTGAAAAGACCCTTTATTGTTAACCACGCTACTTTTGAATATTTGGTCAGAATTTGAATGTAATTATGAATTTAAAACAACATTGCACTATGAATATACTGTGAACATTGTTGTACTTCTAAAATGATTTCTCTATTTAGAATTTGAAAACACTTTTCTGAAATGATATTATTAAGGAGAAACTCTGAGTTTGTGAATATGACACCAACTTGCATAATTTACTGAGTATACTTTAAATGCACTTTCATTAAATTTGCTAAATGAGGTAAACTATTAGCATCGTAAGTTTACTTATAATTGTAAATGTGGGAAAGTGGTAGCCATAGTAGCCATAAAACAGCAGTTTTCCGTATTTTTCCGTATTTTGTGATTGATGTTTTTATTTTATTATGTTTTTATTTCCCCGTTTATTCATGCTTTTGAATTTCATTATATGAACAACTTTCAACCTTAAAAAGTTTGAAAAAAAGTGACTTTTATTAACATGTTTAAAGTGATTACATTGTCTGGGTTGGTGTTCGATATTATGCTACAAAAAACCCTGTAATAAACTGCCAGCAAATTTTGACTTATTTCTATTATTATACATTATATCAAACTATTAAATGACAATAAAAGTCTTGTTGTTAAAGGTGCTGTATGTAAGTGTTTGACTCTTCTGAAGCATAAAAAATACCACAAAATGTTTGCAGATATTTATTTATATGAAAAGTCAGTTATTCTGCTTTGAAAATGCACCCGGGCAACGCGGTATGTTAGGTAGTGGACCACTTAGCTGGCTCAGTTGGCATTTCTGTGTGGTGCATGTTCTCCCCACGTTCGCATGGGTTTCCTCCGGGTGCTCCGGTTTCCCCCACAGTCCAAAGACATGCGGTACAGGTGAATTGGGTAAGCTAAATTGTCAATAGTGTTTTGTTTTTTTTTGTTAAGTGTTTATGAATGTTTGCCAGAGATGGGTTGCAGCTGGAAGGGCATCCGCTGCGTAAAACATATGCTGCATAAGTTGGCGGTTCATTCCACTGTGGTGACCGAAAAGCTGAAAAGAAAATGAATGAATGAATGGTCCCACCCAATGCCAGTTTAGCCAATTATAATTTAGCACCCCGGGTTGCCTTGATGGAAAACCAGGAAGGCTCTTAAAGCTTCCTTGACCAAATTGCGACCTCAGGTGGACAGCAGACTCCGAAATGAGATTCAGAGTTCCACGTGAGATTATTATTTAGTAAATAATATAAGTATTACGAGCGGAAACATTAGGTGAGCAGGTTACATTGTAACTCCGTATCCTAACAACAGGCTACATGACGAGAGCAGTGATAAGCAATTTGACTGTCTGCACCAGATGAAACATGACAAATTTGAATACAGCCATTCAGAAGCACAGAATAGTGCACTTACTGCACTCCAACGAAATGGTACGGTTTATAATCTTATTAATACATATAAAACCTCCTTAACATTATAAAATAACACTGAGTAAAGCACATGAGGTGTACCCAAGGTAAACATTGTCAGTTTATACTGTTGTTCAGCTGCAAGAAATAGTAGCCGTTTCTAAATATACGTTCCAGTTCTTGGTTAGTACAAAAAAAATCCTATTAATTCGGAAAATTATCATTTTATTGTGTTGCTTTTATTAGAACACAACTTAAATAAGCATTTAAGCTCAGTATTTAATCTGGCAACCTGCACTTGCATTTGTTTTGCTTTGTTTGGCATGCAATACCAAGTTCAATCACTGGGTGTCAAACTTACACACTGCACCTTTAAACTGTGTAGTTGAATTTTCAATATCAAAATTCAAAAGAGCGGAGAATAACATCCCATAATGCAATTGAACAGAAAATAAAAAATAAACAGAAAACACTTATCAAAATACGGAAACTGTTAATAAACTAGAAGTCAATGCCTACCAGTGTTCAATTCAAGATATCTTCTATTTGTGTTTAATAGAAAATATCTCAAATTTGAAACAATACAAGATTTTTTTTGAGGTTGAACTATGCTTCTAAGTATACTTATTTTTGTAAGGTTACTCTGATAGAATTTTTCAGTAAGAATGCAATACTACAGTACATGAATATAGTAAACATTTAGTACAGCATATCAGCATATCATCAGGTATGAGCTACAATATGGTACAGCTACAGAGATGACATCATGATAAACTGAACTGAATCTCCTTTTTCTGTGATGTGTCTCTCTTTGTTTTATAGGGTATGTGGGTGTTGGTCAAAGAACGAAATAAGTTGGGCATTCCTTTGCAAAACTCTGCCAATGAAATACACGAGATATCATTTACATCAGATGACTGCTTGAGAGTGAAATTTACTGAGCCCAGTGCATTTCAGCCCTATGTTGAAGCTGTGGATTCTCTCTGGAAGGATTCTGGGATTCAGGAAACTTATCGCAGGAGCGACTTTAAGGGGCATGAGTATTTTATTGTAAGTAAGTGTTTTGTTATTTGTTGTTGTTGAGCAAATCTATATGTAGCTGTCAGTAACAAAAAAAATGGTGTTTTGCAGACCAGTCATGGTACTTTTTTGGCATACAGTCTTAAGGTTTTGAAAATCCAAGACATTTGTGATGAAAGGAGTACATAACTGTACTTTTTGTATTCAGTTACCACTTCACAATACTAAAGTGTCATACTGGTCAAATGAGAGCCTGTGTGTGTGCTACAAAAAAAAATTAACAAATAATTTCTGTTTGTATGCAGTGCGACTCAGTCAAGTACCACTTTGACAATATTCAACGTATTGGCCAACTGGTGAGTAGTTGAGTAAATCATGAGTGTTTGCTAAGGGATGAAATGCTGGCACCTATTTGAGTTTCTTTCTTCTGTTGAACACAAAAGAAGATATTTTGAAGAATGATGGTAGTTGGAAAGTCATAGACCCAATCCAAATTCTACCCCTTAGCCCTTTCCCTTACCACTAGCCCTCGCTTTGCGCGTTCACGTGAAGAGGTAAGGGTGTCCCAGTTCTCTTTAGCTTGAAGGTGTAAGGCTAAGAGGAAGGGCTAGATAGCTCTTGAAACAAATTTTCCAGGACCACTCTCAAAACCAAGGAGTACGAATATGTACCAAAAGGTATTTTTTTATCATTTTATGAATTTTTACAACAAATAAACATATGTTTTAATACATTCATAACCGCATTTGTGTTTTACCATCATGCTTTGTTAAAAAACGTTAAAAAAAACAGCTAAATTTAACTATCTAGAATATATAAGAATAACTCCTGTATAGCAGTCCCACAACATTCTGTCACTCGATTACACTCCAATACCCTGTCAGAAAAGTTTAGTGGCTGGAAATTACCTATTTACAGTGTCTGCTATAACAATAATGTTGTTTTTTTGTGTTTAAATACATGAATATGGCAACGCTGCCACATTATATCCTTATAAAAACATGATATTGTTCCCTTCAGTGATTTCCTGAAGATCAATACCAAAAAAAAGAACGCAACTGTAATAACTACAGTAGTCGCTATTGTCAATCTCTTATATAGTAACAGCGCACGACAACATATGATGATGTAAAATTGAAGCTCTTTCCCTTCACACTCTTTTTTAAGGGTCAATGGGAAAGGGTAGGTGTAAAAAAATAGTATTGTGATTGGGCCATACTAAACTGGACAATTTTCAACATAGACTCATTCTGAAAATATAGCCCTATATACGTTTCTGAAGATTACGAATTATGTAGCCAGAGGCACGTATGCATTATATTTTTAAAACAAACGCTACGGGTGGTATGACGCCATTCCTTGCGTTTTCCCGCTAGAACCAGTTTGTCCCGTTAGCTTGTCATGTATGTCGGCGGACTAGAGATGCAGAGTTGAGTTAAACACGAGGACGGGATTCGAGTCTGGTGAAGAACGGTTCCAGAAAGCAGGTAAGACAAACACTAAAATAAAGAAGTAAATAACAGGGTGAGAATGTGGTAAAATCTGAAAACGTGGGAAAAATCAGATCCGTCAGTCAACAGCGGCCTCTGGTGGGTTTACGCGAGAACAGCAGGCACGAATGGCACTTGCAATAGAAATTTGTGATCTTAGAAAGCGTAGAAAGCGGCCTCTGGTGGATTCGTGAAGACAAAAACTGCAAAAAAAATGAACCTCCTGCGACGTACTTTGCGGTCTCCAGAAATGTATATAGCAGTATGTTTTCAAAATGAACCTGGGTTGCCCTTTTTACAATTTTGGGCCCTATCATACACCCGGAGCAGTGTGGCGCAAGGCGTGGCGCAGTTGTCTTTTGGTACTTTAAGCTTGGCGCAAGAGTCATTTTGAGGCGTTGCGCTATGCTGTTTGAATAGCAAATGCATTAGCGCTCATTTGTGCGCCCATAGGCTTTCTGGTCTAAAAAGGAAGGCGTTCTGAGGCGGACGGCTGGCGCGTTGCTATTTTGAGAAACTATAATAGATTTTTCATTAGACCAAAACCCGGTCTAAAGTCCGGCGCAGAGTTGCGCCTCGCTTACGCACTGCTTAATACAGACAAGAGAGCAATAGGCAAATATCTTTACATATGAAAAAATGTAAATATTAAGGATATATATATAGGATATAATAAGAATAGATATAGGATATGAATATAAAGGATTAAAATATTACAAAACATATTATTTTCTAGCCTACAAAAATATGAAAAATCACTGCTTTATGTCTTCTTCATCTCGGGAGAATTTTTCAGTTCATTCATAACAATTTGCTTTTGTATAATGTTATTATTATTAGCAGTATTATTTATTATATCCATATGTATATTTGTTTTATTAAAAACAAGCTTAGATTTGCCCACCTGTCAGGTTTTAGACCATATGGGGCACAGCATGTGTTTTAGGATATAACTCAGGTTTTTGAGCACATTTTGCTATTATTATTCATTTATTCATTTGCTGGAAATTAGAACTGAATTTAGAAATAGTTTTGAAACGAATATTTGCGCTTAACAAACAAAAGTATTTATTTATAGACTAATTGATGTCTGTGCATAAAGGTTTCCCTATCCAAGAGCGAAAGTGAAAGTAGATCCATTATCTCTCATTCTCACGCAGTAGATGCTCTGTTTAACAGTTTTCTGTTAAAAAACAGTCAACTGTTTGCTAGTGAAATGCTCTTTTTTTTTTCCACTTAGACTTACTTTGCATCCTGTAAATAGCGAATGTGCTCTTGGCGTGACGCAGCTGACTCTTAAAGGGAATGGGAGATGAGACTCTCATTGGTTTATTCTCAAAACACACCTATAACTCATTAAGAAAATAAATTCAACCCTTTTAGACCATGCGCCGAAGGGCAAGGCAGATTTCCCGTCCCTAAATTAGCAAAAAGGCATCCTGACACTCATGCCCTGAAAGCATTTGCGCCCTGCGTTTTGCGCTTTGCGCATGGACTGTCAAAATAAAGCCCTAAATGTACAGTGGAATGAAGAGTTTCAGACGGCCTTAAAATTTTCACTCATTGTTATATTGAAGCCGTTTGCTAAAATCAATTAAGTTCATAAAATAACAAAGTAATTTCTTTACAACTCTGTGACATTTCTTGAATGGCCCAGTCAGAGCCCTGACTTAAACCCAATTGAGCATCTCTGGAGAGACCTAAAAATGGCTGCCCACTAACATTTACGATCCAACCAGACAGAACTGGAGAGGATCTGCAAGTAGATATAGCAGAGGATCCCTAAATACAGGTGTAAAATACTGCATCTTATGACTTAAGGCTGTATTACATCAAAAGGGCGCTTCAACTACAGTTAAAGTCAGAATTATTAGCCCCCCTTTGATTTATTTTTTTTAATATATATTTCCCAAATGATGTTTAACAGAGCAAGAAATTTTCACAGTATGTCTGATAATATTTTTTCTTCTGGAGTAAGTCTTATTTGTTTTATTTCGGCTAGAATAAAACTAGTTTAATTTTTTTAAACACCATTTTAAGGACAAATTATTAGCCCCTTTAAACTATATATTTTTCAATAGTCTACAGAACAAAACATTGTTATACAATAACTTGCCTAATTGCCCTAACCTGCCTAGTTAACCTAATTAACCTAGTTAAGCCTTTAAATGTCACTTTAAGCTGTATAGAAGTGTCTTGAAAAATATCTAGTCAAATATTATTTACTGCCATCATGACAAAGATAGAATAAATCAGTTATTAGAAATGAGTTATTAAAACTATTATGTTAATAAATGTGTTGAAAAAACTTCTCTCTGTTAAACAGAAATTGGGGGGGAAACAGGGGGGCTAATGATTCTGACTTCAACTGTAAATACTGAGCAATGGGTCTGAATACTTAAGACCATGTGATATTTCAGTTTTTCCTTTTTAATAAATCTGCAAATTCCGTGTTTTTTCCTGTAAATATGGGGAGCTGTGTGTACATTAATGAGGAAAAAGATGAACGTAAACGTATTTTACAATTGGCTACAATATAACAAATAGTGAAATATCTAAGGGGGTCTGAATACTTTCCATACCCATTGTATATAGAAGAAACAACAGCAAGATAACCTTCTATAAAGGTTAAAGTGAAATAAAGATAAGAGATACAAAACACTACTTTGTTAGCATGACATAAAATAGAAAATATATTTTGCAATTACTTTTAGTTATTTAGCAGACGCTTTTATTCAAAGTGACTTAGGAGAGGAGGCATTCAGCAATCCTGCAAGAGGCAATACACACAAAAAGTGAAAATTATTCAAAGAAATTGATTTTGATTACAAAAGTAAATTACAAACATGAGTTCATGTGTGAAATTATTTCCCCACTGAACCACTCACTGTACTTGCAGGACTATTTACCACACAATCAAGACATTCTTCATGCACGCAGTCGCTGGACAACCCTAGAAGACATGTATTATGTGCTCCGTGATACCCCTTTTGTGGTAGCACAATCATCTATCCTGCCTTTTATTGCAAGGATGAAGTTTAACTTCCGTGACACAACAATACTGTTTATAATTGGATCCAGTGATTATGACCGAATGTTATATGACAGCAACTGCCTTGCTGACTCGTTGAGTATATTCAAATCTATTATCAATCATAAATACTACAGCAGCAGCACCATCATCCTCCTCTTTAACAAAATGGACCTGCTGAGAGAAAAAGTCCAAACTGCAGATATCCGGAAGCATTTTCCTGAGTTTCAAGGTGATCCTCACAGGCTGGAGGACGTGCAGAAATTCTTGGTTCAAAGCTTTAAAATGAGGAAGCTAAAAAACAGCGGGCCAATTTACTACCACATGATCACTGCAGTGGACACAGAGAATATTCGGACTGTGTACAACACCATTAAACATGCAATATTAAGCAAGAACTTCAAAGACTTTTTACAGCTGTAGGATAGCGTGTCCACAAAAGAAGGTTTGTGAGTTACTGAAAACAAATAATTACCTTAAAGTATAGGTCTCGAACTCGATTCCTGGTGGACCGCAGCTCTGCAGTTTTGCTCCAACACTAATCAAACACAGCTGATCCAACTAATCAAGGAGTTCAAAGCTTCTAGAGACTATAATGCTGCGTTCAAACCAGACGCAGAAGAAGCATCAAGCGCGAGTGATTTACATGTTAAGTCAATGCAAAGACGCAAATAGACATCCTGCACCATATGCACGAATGAGGCGGCTCGAGTCGTAAAATCTGAACTTCAGCGGACATTCGTGCAGTGTTAACCAGTCAGTAGCTTTCCCTAGTAGGGGCGTGATTATGATGTATCGCTTGTTGTTGGTGTCCAGGAGTGAAATCTTCCTGCCGACACCAGACAACAGTTCATCAAACTGCGCTCGGCTCAGTCTAAAGCACTGCTGAAAGCTTCCATCATCCAGGTATAGTTTTTTGGAGGACTTTATGAGCTCACAGAGCATGGTGCACCTCAGAATGGATCTAGTGGACTCTAGGCATGGCTCCAAACGATTCATCGCTGTTTTTCAGCCTTCATAAAAACACATAAACACAGTTATTCTCTCAATAAAATCCATGTCCGAAGAATCCGAAGCTAAAGTCACCGGGCAGACAGAAGCCCTGCCTATCACACAAATCTGTGTCCATTGTGAAGTGAATTTGACACGTGAATGAATCGAGTAATCTCATAATGTTTATTACACGATTTATCAGCGCTTACTGCGTCTGGTGTTAACACAGCATTAAGCAGGTGTGAGTTGGTGGTGGTTGGAGGTAAACTTTGCAGAGCTGCAGCCCTCCAGGAATTGAGTTTGAGATCATTGCCTTAAAGGGTAGTTCATCCAAGAAAATGAAAATTCTGTCATCATTTAGTCACTGGTCATTTGTCCAAAATTTGAGTTTCTTTCTTCTGTTGAACTCAAAAATTCTTGAAAAAAGCTGTTTACTTGAATCCGTTGACTTCCATAGCTTTTTTTTCTTCTTTGAAAGTTGATTGGTGCCAACATCCAGCTTTCTTCAAAAACCACACAAAAGGTTCAAAACCACACAAGGGTGAGTAAATGATGATGTAATTTTCATTAGTGGGTGAAATATCCCTTTTAAATTGATGATCTGAATAGCTGCATGAATTAAAAATTTGTAGTTATTAAGTAAATAATAGTCTGTAGTTATAAAGTAAATAATATACCATTTCATGAGTGAGTGCATATTCTGTGCTTCTGGATGGCTGTATTTAAATTTCTGTCATGCTTCCTCAGGTACAAACAGCCAAATTGCAACCGGGGGTGCTGTAATGTAATTGGCTAAACTGTCATTGGGTGGGTTAAAGAGACCAAAACCAAGATAAACGTTCCAGCACAGAATGCACATTTTCAGAGCAGAATATCCGACTTCAGTATTGTCTTTCAGATGAACAGGAATGTTCACTTGGCATGTTTATTAAATATCTGCAAACATATGGTTTTTTCATGCTTTAGAAGAGTTAAAAACTTTCATACAGCACCTTTAAGTTAATATTAGTCTGAGTCAAAACACACTTGAAGGTTTGAATGTTTACAAATATAAGACAAACATTAATATTGCAATTTGAAAATAATGTAGCTATTCTATTTATCAAAAAATATGAAAATAATGTTTAGTATTTTACAGTATTTTCTAATTTCTACTAATATTTTTTTTATATATTTTTTAATTTGACTGGGTTCCTGAAACTGTTTAAATCGCACATAAATAAATATATTTAAATATTTGCGAACATTATTAAATGATTAAAGTATTTGTTTCATTTCCCAGTAATGCGTTGTGGCTAGAAGGGCATCCGCTGTGTAAAACATAACCTGGATAAGTTGGCGGTTCATTCTGCTGTGCCGACCCTTGATTAATAAAGGAACTAAGCCGAAAAGTAAATGAATGAATGAATGAAGTATTCATTTCAAAATATCAAAAGAATTTTGGAAAACCTTTTACATACAACTTCTTCATAAACACCGTCCACCTGACTTTCCAGTCTCACAAAACAAAATAATAAAACAAAACGGACCTTGATACTGTCTTTATTAAACTTCCCACACTAAAAGGTACAAGGCTAGAAGAATTTTTCTCAATAGCAATCTACAATATTTTCCTCGCTTTGCTGAGCCGCTGAAAGAATGTCCTCCATCAGCGATCGGGGGGAATTCACAACATGATCACTACTCAACTTCAGCATCCTCTGCATATCATCTAGATCCAGAATCTGCAATATCACAGACAGGGGAATCTCTTTGATGCAGTGCAGATCTTTCTCTGTTCCCTCGCCACCTCCAATCAGCACATGCTCAGATGCTTTGACCTGTTGTTTGTTGAGGAATCTACTCTGCACCTCATCCCCCCATCGGTTCCCACATGCTTTCAAAACAAGAGCGTCATGATCAAAATCAGCCTTTTCAGCATTAAGTCTTTTGAGTTTGAGCAGGAGTTGGCAGGATTTCTCACACACTGGTCTGTCGCAGTCAAACAAGCCATTGAGCAGCACATCAAACAGGCCGAGATCTTTCAGTTTGCTCAAGGATTGTGTCAAACGCGTCCTTTCCGATGAAGAAAAGCTCTGCACTGCATACGGACAGCAGGTCAGCATCTTCTCCATCAAAGCTTCTGCGAGCTCCAGCGTGTGCATTTTCACTTCCCAGTCAAAATCGTTGCCCCCGAGAGACAGGACCGAGCTCAGGGAAGAGTCCAGGGCTGTTATGGGGTTTGACCCTTTCAGCCATGATGTAAAGGTTTTGACCACGGCTCTACGAGGAAAGCCCTCTGTGTCCTGAGAGAGAATGATCATCATCTGTGCCAAAGCCTCCTCCTAAAGTCCAAAGGCATGCAAAGAGCAGAAGATTCAGTAGGCGACATTACAGTTACAGGCATTACAGTATTGTTTTTTTCATGGATTTCTGATTCAAATATGTTTGAGTTTTGTGTCCTCTAAGGCAGTGGTTCTCAACCACATTCCTAGAGGACCACCAACACTGCATGATTTGGATGTCTCCTTTGTCTGTCACAGCCATTTCAGGTCTTTCTGTCTCTGCTAATGAGCTGATGATCTGAATAAGGTGTGATAAAGCTTGATAAAGAAGACATGGAACATTTGCAGAGCTGGTGGTCCACCAGGAACGTGGCTGAGAACTACTGTTCTAAGGTGACGATACAGAGCAATGCTGCCTGGAAAAGTTGCTTGTCAGCTTTCCCATTGAGAAAGGGCAATAAAACTGGATCTGTTAGATCAGTTGTTGGCAGTCTTCTTAAATCCTCCAATCAGAATGCTAGTAGCGAATCACGTGACTGGCTTGGAGCTGTCTGACAAATTTAAACAAGAATGTGTTTGCTTAGTGCTTACATTTGCTGACAGACAGTTTGGGCTACAGAATTATAGGAATTATTGGCCCGACAAATTTTAATTGGATGAACATTTTTTAGTTTCATGCCTTACCCAGATTATAAAAATACATATAAACAGATTTAGATCATTTACTTTAATCATTACTATTGGAACATGAAGAGACTTTCAACCAGCAGGACAAAAAATGTTTCTGAAGACGATCAAATACTGCGCCTCAAAGAATTGTGTTGTTTCAACTTAGTTTAAATAAGTACTTTGAACAAGCAGCAAAAGTAATTGTTTTTTTAAATGTAAGTGATTTTGCTTTCTTTGTATACACTGTAAATAATGCTGGATTCCACACAATTTCTTCATGTTGACCCAACACAAATCAATTAAATTTAAGTGGATTGAACACAAAACAATTAAGCTGTCCCAAATAATAATAAGTCTCAAGAATTGTGCTGTATTGACTCATTTCTAATAAGCAGTTTGAACAAGCAGCAAAAAATGTCTTGCAGTGTTTTATCAAACTTTCAGTGTGTCTGTTTTGTTCCTCCTTGTTGTGCGTTCATCATATTAGCTTTATTATTATTAGTTAGGCATTATATTGATTTGCTTTCTTTTTGACTAATAGACATCTACTCTTAGATTCATCCACTCTAGTGAGGGCGGTTCAAGAATGTTAAAACTTATAATATAATTAGTGCTTGGTATCTTGGTATCTTATATGGTTGCCTGCTGACGGCAGCAATGCCAAATGTTGCCGGGCAACATTGCTCTAAAAGTTGCCCTGTGTATCATCACCTTTAGAGTTAATCTACTGTATTTCTCATATATTATTTTGCGTCACATGTTAACGTAAAGTTATGTATTTACTAACATAAACAAACAATGAACAACACATTTATTACAGTGTTTGTTCATGTTAGTCAATGTTAGTCAGTAAAAACACAGTTGTTCATTGTTAGTTCATGTTATCTCATGGTGCATCAACTAATGTTAACAAGAATTAATATGGATGCTAATAATGCCATAGTAAATGTTAAACTGCAATTAATAAATACTAGTATTGATCATAATTAGTTCATGTTCATAAATACACTAACCAATGAAACCTAATTGTAAAGTGTGACCGAACAAATTAACAGCTTATTTTAATTTTTGGATCAGCCATGACTTTAATAAATGAGCAAACTTTTGAGCAGTAAAGGTACCCATGTAATGCTCTCTTACAAATTTATAATTAGATTTTTGAGAATAAGAGAATAAATATGAATGATTTAAAATTTAAAAGCATATTATCTTTATTCTATGATATATTCCTAGATAGCGAAATATTATGTTAAACATGTATGCTCATTGCATTGAATGATTGAGCAATATTAAATAAATATGCTACAATAAATGTTTATGCTATAATAAATGCTTAAAGTTTTAGTTATTATTTAATAACTTCTAGACAGATGGTCTATAATTTCAAAGTTTTGAATAATGAATGACAATCAAGAGGTTTGGAGAGAGCATAAGCATTGCCTCAATTCACAATTTTGCCATAACTGGCAGAGCAGAAAATGTTTCTGTTGAGTCACTGCACCATCTGGTGTGTGTGTGTGTGTGTGTGTGTGTGCGTGTGTGTTTTTGTGACATATCAGGACACAAATCTGTATAATGACATATGTATGACACAGGTATTACAAAAAGGAGGTGAAATATGAGAACATTGGTGACGTCCTCATTTCTCAAAATGCTTATTAATCCTACAGGATGTGTTTAATCAGAGAGTAAAGCTGCACACAGTCTCCTGTGATGGTTGGGTTTAGGGGTGGGTGGGGTGAGGGCAATACAATATATGGTTTGGACTTTATAAAATGAATGGAAATTCTTTTGTTTTGTTGTTTACACAAAGGCAGATTTTGTTTCATACAACGCATAATAGTTAACCTAATGTAAACATTATAAGTAGTTATCCATTTCACAATTTAATTTATAAGATCTTAAACTCAAATATGTAACCTAAAATACTACATGCATCTATATTGCTACAGTTGGTCTTTTTTTATTATTCTCTTACATCCTTTATGGCATTGATTGCAATAAACTGCTTTAAAAATAAATATGAGTTTAAAGGGTCAGTGTGTACTCTACGTAGAGTGTTAACGGGTAGTGTCTTCAAATTTTTCCAGAAAGGCAGAATCCTATCGATTTTATTTTGCAATGTAAAGTGTGCTTTTTCTTCCAGTATAACTTTACAATAAGATTGTATTAGTTAATGTTAGTTATTGCATTTACTAACATGAACAAACAACAATACATTTATTACAGTTTTGTTCATGTTAGTTAATGAAAACACAATTTTACATTAGTTCATCCTAACTCACGATGCATTAACTGATGTTAGCGAGCATGAATGTAAATAATGTGTAAGTAAATGTTGTATTATGAAGAATAAATGCATAAATGCAATACATGTATTGTTCATAATTAGTTTATGTTAGTAAACACATTTGCTAACATTACCTAATGAAACCTTAAGTGTGACAGGGCTTTCGATCAATTTGTCCTTGGGGAAATTACTAGGAAATGTCTATGGTAAAACTAGGAACTATAAACATTTTTACAAACATTTATGTTTACAACAATGCATAAAAATTAAAATAGCAATACCAAAATTTGCAACAAAGCAGCAAAACGATCATTTTTTTTACACCTACAAATCAATAAAAGTTAATGAGAATGGAGGTCTCTACCAAATAAGGTTCCAAATGGCTGCACCCACTCGTAGATGAAGGAATCAGGTCAATAGATCCTATTTTAAAAACCTATTATGTGCACTGAGTAAATGTGTCTCACCAGCAAGTTGATCTTGCTGACTAGCGCCATCTGTTGGACAGAAGAGGTAACTGCTTCTCCAACAGCAGTCACGGCACTCGCTCTGACATAGCCTTCAGTGTCTGACAGTAAAGACAGGAGAATGGAGACCAGGCCACTGGTGTAGAGAACTTCAACAAAACCACTGTTATCTGTAAAAAAAACACACAAAAGTCCAATAACAGTGAAAATCATACATTTTCAGTACAGCAATAGATGAAGTGAGGAGATGGTTATGTCTGTGGTACTGTACCACTGAGGGCCACAGTCAGCTGGGTGATGAACTCCAGTGTTGAATCTCGAACTTCCCACCGCACATCACACATACGTTTCTCCAGAACAGGAAAGAGGTCTGCAGACACACATGCTCAATTTATGAGCGTATACTAGGAAAGTGTTCACAATAGCTAGACATGTTATTGCACATGAATAAATAATGACATTCAGTAATGCACTGCAATAAAATCTCTTCTTACATACAGTCTTTATCCTGTTTCTAGTCCAAATATCTAAAAACTCTTAAATCAGGAAGCATTCGTGCAGAAAGTCTTGTCATATTTTCATAAATATTAAGTTTAAATTAAGCAAGTTTTTCTTTAAAGCAAGCAAAATAATCTGCCAGTAGGGCAAGTAAGATAAACGGTAACACTTCATAATAACTACACACTATAAATCATTTATTAAGCATTTATTTTTTTGCAGTGGAAATCACTTGGCTGAACTATCCTTTTAAATTACAAATCAAGGTGTTAACACTTGTAGTTTAGGATCTGTAGGTTTGTTTATTTAAGCAACAAACATTAGAACATATATATATATATATATATATATATATATATATATATATATATATATATATATATATACATATATATTGCTATATATCATGCGGTGCTTTTAAAACCAAACAATAAATTGATACATGTTTTCCTCGTTCACTTTGCATTCACGCTGACTGAAATCTCAAGACACAATACAAAAATCACATGCTGGATGTGTAATAAAAGTTTTGTTACAGAACTTACCAGGCATCCAAAACAATGCAGGGCTAAACACACTTGTTGTATGTACATACTGCTGTCCTTATAATGGTATTTTTATAAGTTAAGAATTTAAAAAGATCTGTTCAAATGTGTAAAGAAGACAAAATAGCACCCGAAATTCCCCCGTCACACAGACAAACAAAGATCTGCTACAAGGACACCTGTAATAAACCGTAATATGAAAAATAAACATGGGAATTCTGTGCTTTTATATGGTTGGGTCCTGTCCTCATCTAGTTGGGTCCTGTTTTATGAAGGTAAATCAGTTGCGAAACTCGAGAGCTTGCAAATGTAAATGTGAGCACTTGTGATAATAATATTTGTATGTGTAGGTTGAAATGTACACTTACAGCTCTGATGTGAACAGCTGAAATCCTCGATTTGCACACACACACAACAATCCACACACTTGTGTTTTAAATTGGAAGTTGCAGATTAATAGTTGTGTATTTGTAAAATGTCATTCACAAATACAAAGTGACAGACACACGTGTGCACGGCAAATTTGACTGCATCTTCGCTCTACAACCACAGGTCGGCACTCACAACCTCTCAGATTCGTCAGTACAACTACAAATCTCCCGCGCTCTGACTTTTGCTACACATCTCCCGCGATCTCTGTAGCAGAACTCATCTGTGCACTCGCAGATGCAGAGGCGTGAGCAGCGCTGGGCAGGGGAGGGGCGGGGCTGGTGTAAAGCTGTTTGATTGGCTGATGCCTGACCAATGAACAATGCCAGCAGCCAACAGGACTGAGGTGCAAAATAATCATTTCCCACGATTATTTTATTATTTAGGGTTTATTTAAACTCTTTTCTGAAGAGATTCTTGTTAAAAATAATACATTCTGTGGAAATGTACATACCAGTAAAAGAGCAGCAAAGCCAGTTTATTGGCTAGAGCCAGCCAATGAGATGGGGCGTTTCTGTTTGTCAGGACACAGGGCAGCTCACGTTGTTGGAGGCCTCGAGCAATCAGAGGGTAAGTTATGATTTTTAATAATTATCTATATGTTCAATACTGTTAGCTAAGCTAAGGACTGTGCTGGGTGCTTCTCTTGTTTGTTTCTTATATAAGAAAACAGTTATGAGTTATCTAGGAGCTGCTTTCAATCATGTTATATGGTTCTAAAGATACGATTCAACCCACATGAAATAAGAAGTTGTAATAGTATTTATAGTAAATAATAGTACGTTTTTGAACCATACTAACTATAGTAAACTGTATTATACAGTATATATTGCAGTATCTACAACTTTGTTAATGAATGCAACAGCACACTGTAGTATTAACTAGCATGAACTTTAATAAATTGAAGTATACTTGTATGTATGTATGTATATATATATATATATATATATATATATATATATATATATATATATATATATATATAGCTTAAATTTGAAAAAATTGAAATATAGCTATCTGTTTAAAACTAAACATTCTAATGCCATTTATTATGCAAATATCAAGTTGAAACAAATCTGTTAAGAATACGTATTTATATGTAAAACCTAATACATTTTAAAGCAGTTTCATTTCTTTCTAATTTTTACATCTACATGCATTACATCTGATTTAGGTCCACAACTTGCATCCTTCAACATGATATGTGTGTTCAAAGGAAGAGCAACTAGGTGAGGGAGACAGTGTCCATCGCTCGGCTGAGGGTCCACTTTGAGCATCTCATCTGCAGGGTTAAGCAACATAAGCTGAACAGTCATCATCTCTCTCTATTACAGCGAGCATCAACCAGCTTTACACAATGGCTTGCTTTCTGACCATTAGTTAAGGCTTGAGCAAAGTATTAAAGAGGAGATAACATTTGATGGGTAATGATGAAGTTGGATTTACCACCTCCATCTCATTATGAACAAGGAAAAACCCTGAAATATTTCAATACAAGTAACTAGACATTTGCACTGCACTTATTTGGACTGTAAATTTTATTTGACAAATTACATTCCCTTACAGCACAGGTGTCAAACTCAGTTCCTGGAGGGCTGCAGCTTTGCAAAGTTTAGTTCTAACCCTAATTAAACACACCTGATCAAACTAATTGAGTCCTTCAGGTTTGTTTGAAACTTTCACTTAAGTGTGTTGAAGCAGGGTTGCAACTAAAAACGTGAAGGGTTACGGCCCTTCAGGAACTGAGTTTGACACCCCTGCCTTACAGTAAAGTGTAAAAATACTACATTAAACAATTATCAAAATAAAAGTTGTGTTTGTGGGTGAGTGTGTGTTTTGTTCAAATCTGTAGTCATCTTGGCAAGAAAAAAGAGAAAATAAAGTCGGCTTCCTCTTGAATGATCTGAATCATTTTGAAGTGTTTGTAGATGAGCTGGATCCTCATGTCATCTTTAGCATAAATAACATCCTATTCAAGCTATGCAGCTTCTCTGAGTTCCTCATCGACTTGAAACATGCTGATCTCTCCTGTCACTCCATCCTTACAGGAAACTGAGAAATAACCTATAGTTAGTAACGTTCATAATTAAAAAAGTGATATAAAGGACACACTGTACACAAACATGTAAATAGATAGATGGATAGATAGATATAATGCAGGTTATAATAACAAAAACCGGTATGATCTGTAAGAAACTGAAACGCCTAGTGTTATTTTTAATTGCTATTAATGTGTGTGTGTGTGTGTGTGTGTAAATATACTTCAATTTATTAAAGTTCATGCTAGTTAATACTACAGTGTGCTGTTGCATTCATTAACAAAGTTGTAGATACTGCAATATATACTGTATAATACAGTTTACTATAGTTAGTATGGTTCAAAAACGTACTATTATTTACTATAAATACTATTACAACTTCTTATTTCATGTGGGTTGAATCGTATCTTTAGAACCATATAACATGATTGAAAGCAGCTCCTAGATAACTCATAACTGTTTTCTTATATAAGAAACAAACAAGAGAAGCACCCAGCACAGTCCTTAGCTTAGCTAACAGTATTGAACATATAGATAATTATTAAAAATCATAACTTACCCTCTGATTGCTCGAGGCCTCCAACAACGTGAGCTGCCCTGTGTCCTGACAAACAGAAACGCCCCATCTCATTGGCTGGCTCTAGCCAATAAACTGGCTTTGCTGCTCTTTTACTGGTATGTACATTTCCACAGAATGTATTATTTTTAACAAGAATCTCTTCAGAAAAGAGTTTAAATAAACCCTAAATAATAAAATAATCGTGGGAAATGATTATTTTGCACCTCAGTCCTGTTGGCTGCTGGCATTGTTCATTGGTCAGGCATCAGCCAATCAAACAGCTTTACACCAGCCCCGCCCCTCCCCTGCCCAGCGCTGCTCACGCCTCTGCATCTGCGAGTGCACAGATGAGTTCTGCTACAGAGATCGCGGGAGATGTGTAGCAAAAGTCAGAGCGCGGGAGATTTGTAGTTGTACTGACGAATCTGAGAGGTTGTGAGTGCCGACCTGTGGTTGTAGAGCGAAGATGCAGTCAAATTTGCCGTGCACACGTGTGTCTGTCACTTTGTATTTGTGAATGACATTTTACAAATACACAACTATTAATCTGCAACTTCCAATTTAAAACACAAGTGTGTGGATTGTTGTGTGTGTGTGCAAATCGAGGATTTCAGCTGTTCACATCAGAGCTGTAAGTGTACATTTCAACCTACACATACAAATATTATTATCACAAGTGCTCACATTTACATTTGCAAGCTCTCGAGTTTCGCAACTGATTTACTTTCATACTGTTTTGGTTTGTTTAGATGGCTTTAATCCGTGTTTTGTTTATGCTGTATTTCAGTCAAACCAAACCAGAGTTCATATGGAAGTGGACCAAGACTCAAATGTCTCGGTCCACTTGTTAGGCATGCATGGAGGTTTGGATGAGACCAAACCAATGAGGCTGAAGTGCTCTTACCATTGCTGATAAACTGCAGGAGATCAGGGAAAGATGCACACACACCAATCCACCTCAAAACTGCCTGAAATGTTTTCTTTAAAACCTAAAAATCACAGAATTTTTTAAATACAAATGCATTTTCAACATGAGATCAGATCTAAAATCAAAAATCTAAAGCAAATGATATTTGGAACACATATGGATGTTTATACTTACTGTGGCGTGTGAATCTGGACTCTTTAGATAATCCAACAAAACACCAAATATGTCTTTTCTTAAGTCCAAATTATCTATTTGTAGAGAGATTAGTCAGTTATTGGAGCCATTCAACATCCTTCATTTCCAAGGTTAGTGATGCCAAAACTAGGGCTGTAATAAATCTATCGACTCTTTTCATAATTAACAGTCAAAGTCCAATTAAACTGATAGTTCTGCTAGCATACCAGTACCACATCCCTTATGTAACTGTAAATATATAATTTAGTCTCAGCCAGGCTGTAGATAAACTAATATATATATATATATATATATATATATATATATATATATATATATATATATATATATATATATATATATATATATACATACATACAATGCTTTTTAATGTTTAAATGTACTGTTTAGTAATGTTTATCTTTAAAAAAATGTGACGATGCATTAAAGTATCACTGTAACAAAACATTATCACTATAAAATATACTGTATATATTCAATTCATCTTCATTTCAAAACGCCAAAGCAGCTTAAAATAAAGCTAGTAAATTGAAACCGTGTCAGACCAGCTTTCAGAGTTAAAGTTCAGCTTAATTCAGTTCAGTGTGGTTTAAATTGCATGACTTTTCCAGCAATTTTAAATACATTTTTTATGACCTAATGTTTCAAAATGTAATGGTTCAAATTTATTACATCATATCATAAAACATGTAACAATCTTTTTAGTTTGGATTTATTTTTATATCTATGTACACTTTATTTAGATAATGCTTACACAGCATTTATAGTGTGAGACCAAGGTCAAAAAAGAAGTACAGGCCATACCTGCCAACATTTGTCTCTGAAAATCAGTGAGACCATGGTGGGGGTGGGGGTGTCTAGGTGACTGTACTATGCACCGGGTTTCGGGCAGCAGCTGCGATCAGATATTATACCAAAGTCGACGATCCAAGGGTGTTATAGACTGTACCAAAATGCTAAGAACCTTTGGGGTGGGGAGGGTGTTGAAATTTGGAGAGTTTTCCAGGAGAAATAACAAAATGAGAGATGGGTCTAAAATACAGGGGACTCCGGGGAAAACGGGAGTGTTGGCAGGTATGGTACAGACAGCTATATTCAAGTATACAGATGTTTGTTAAACTAATTTCCATGACTTTTCCAAAATTCCGTGGGCTTTTTTTTTTTCCAAAACTTTTCCAGGCCTGAAAAATGCCATTTTTAAATTCCATGACTTTCCAGGTTTTCCATGACCGTATGAAACCATGAGTATAAACTAAAATATGTCTTATTGTTCCTCTATTATATATAAATGCTGTTATTTTGAACTTACTATTAATTAAAGAATCCTGAAAAATGTATCATGGTTTTCCCAAGAATTTTGAGCAGCATAACAAATAATAATCACAAATAATAATATTTAATGTTGCTGGAGAACAAAACATCAATTTAAATAATTTAAAAATAAAAAACAGATGTATTAAATTGCAATAATTCTTAATTATTATAGTTCCAGTTTTTATATATATTTTTTTATTTAAAAACTATTTAAAACATTTTTAATTATACCTTTTGACCCTGAAATCTTTAACAATAGTGTATTGAAGCATAAACATTGCATGATTTGTACATTGAGAATACGTCTTTTGAGCTTTTAGAATAATCATAATGCTTTATTCATTAAGGGAAAACTTAAATTCTGTCTATCTAAGGAGTCTTTACCTTCATACACGCTGAGAGCACCTAATGTATCCAGACCACACCTCTGTATCTTGCAGGAGCCAATCAGGTGAGTGCAGGCACTCACATGAAGCAGAGAGGAGGTGCAATGGCCAGAGCAAACCCTCAAAAGCTGCACCACACGGCTGGTGACAGAGGGAATGCAAACGCCTTCAAAGTATTCCTAACAAAAAAGGACACAAATTCATTATGCTATACACATTTCACTGTACTTAACACATTTTACATAGAGTTAAAGAGTTATTAGCTAATAAACATGGTCAGAAGTAGGCTTACTGTAATTTTGAATTTGGCTTTTATTGCAAAGAGTATTTTTATATTTGCTATATATTTCAGTAATTTCCTGTGCAAACCTCTAAAGTACAATTATTTTTATTTATTGTATATTTACATTCCTCTTGTAGTGTTTTAGTTATTTTTATGCATCCAGGATCTTAATGTAATTTCAGTTCAATGTATATCAGTACATGTTGCAAGATTGACAATGAAACGTGACTTTGATTTAATAAAACCTAAAACTGAACAATGCAAATGATACTTAAAAGGTTTCAATAAAAAAAATTAAACTTCAGACAAACGAACCAATCCAATTAAAGTTAATTTATTATTAAACATGTCTAGTTCACATATTTGGAAGATGCAAGCTAGACTTTGTTTCTTTCTTTATATTTATATATATTTATATATATATATATATATATATATATATATATATATATATATATATATATATATATATTTTTTTTTTTTTTTTTTTTTTTTTTTTTTTTTAGTTTTTTCAGTTATAATAATAACATTTCAAAAATAATCTTGGTCTGAAGCAGAAGTCTACTTACTTTGTGTGCCAGCTCAGCTAGACTTGATAAACTCTGCACGAGGAGAGAAATACACAAGGCTTTCTGGGATAGCGGTTCCTTCAGGACTAAATCCACCTCCTTTTCTGCTGGAGACATTAAAACTGTATTATACAACTGCATGGTTTTAATGATATAAAACATACAGTTCTATGAATGCATGATACCATCTTGAGACTGTGTTGACACACACTGCAAGGGAAGTAAGATAATATCCATGGCCTTCCTCTTTAAAACTTTAGGACTAAAAGGTTAAAAGAAAGGGAAATCAAAACAGATTTAAGTTTATAACATAATATATAACAGACTGCTTGTACTAATGCATGTATGTTGCTGCATTATGTACTGTATTGTGTAAGTCTACTATAGTTACCATTTCTCCAGCTTTACGATTAGTGTTGCGCAAAGAATGCCCTCCTTTCTGTTTCCAGTACCCAGCATGACTTCCAAAAATTCTTCCACTTTATACTCTGATTGGCCAAGCAGAGGAGTCCTGTAACAGATTAAAAACAATTCGCAGAACTACCACAACAAGGGAATATATAAGCACAAAAATAATGTTATGTAACAATAAAAGATAATATACAAATGTAATAATGGTCAAATAATGCAAAAAAATTGAAAACTGAAATTGACATTCAGAACTTATAATCAATCTAATTTTTCGAGGTCAATTTTTTCAGTTACTTCTTCAACAGCATGTGGAGTCACAAGACCCTGCTCTGTTAGCCACGTTTTGCAGCCACATCTCATCTTTGGTCAAGTAGGATGATGGACACCATTTTTGAGCCTTACTTTGCACTACACTGACGATGATTGGAAGCTGCGGTGAGATGGCATATTTTCCATTACATTAAAAATATTATTTACATTAAAATATTTGTTTACAGAAAATGCAAGAAATGCACTATTTAAAATATTATTTACAGAATACACAAGAGTTATTTTATTTAGAAGAGATGCAGCTTATTTTCTGCTTTTAATATGAAAAAACATTGAAAGTAATTTATTTTGTTTCCAAAAGTGCAAGCTTTTTATTTTCATTTTTTTTAAATAAAAACGTGACTTTATTTTAGACAATGTGTGTTTTAATTGATCAACGTTGATGTTCAATAAATAATTATAGATAGAAGATAGTGTGTGTTTCATTCAATTATTAAAAAAATCAAGCAATGCATCCTTCATTCAAAAATATCTCACTTGTAATATGCGAGTATATTTACTGTACAAAACCTGTTAGTGAACTATAAGGGCAAAAAAATAAATAAATAAATAAAATAATGGTTTAATTAATTTTAAATTAGATGAGCTTTTGATTTTAGGCCAAATCACCCAGGCCTACAATAAATACACTCTTACAAAAATTCTAATTGTATGTATATTGATCGAAGTTTACGATATTTTCACAATCAAAATAAATACAGAGTATGAAATATTATAAAATTAATATTTGTAAGAAATATTTTTTTTGCCTACCAAGGCTGAAGAAAATCAAAAATTTCATGGAAAATCAGTCATTATTCAAGTTTAAATAAATGTCTATTTTTTTATATTGTTTTTTATAAAAGAGGACAAAACTTTATTACCATTTATTTACAGCATCATTACTCCACTTATTAGTGTCACATGATCTTTAGTGGCTAATCTAATATACTGAATTGGAGCTTGTTTATTTTAATTTTTTATCAATGTTCAATAATGGTTCTTATTGTATTCAGCAATGTGATGTGTTTCTTTTATTAATTCATTTATTAATTGAAAATAAGTGTCGGTTTCCACAAAATCCTAACTAGCACAACTGGAAATTCATCTTTGCCATCATCAGAATCATTTAAATATTATATACATAATAAATAATAAAGAAAAGTTCTTTTAAACTGCAGGAAATTAAAGCAATTTACACTGTTCTTTTAGATATCGTTCAAATAAACACAGTCTCTGTGAGCATCCAAAACATTTTTAGAAACATTAAGAATATAATTTTTAATTTTTCCAAATTTGGACTGGCATATTAATACAATGCATCAATAAATATTAGATACTTCACCTCAGTTGAACAGATATACAAGTCTTCCTCGAGGCACACCAACAGTACATATTTGGATGTCTATTTGTCTGATCCATTCATTACAGGTTTTGGAGTCTCTTCTAATGATCTGATTAGTTAATTTGGTCCCATTTTATATTAAGTGGCCTTTACTAATATGTACTTACATAGGAATTAATAGTTTGTTACAATGTACTTATTGTGTAAATACATGTATTTACTGTGTACTTATGCTTGATTAAACACAGGTATGTAAATACATCTGTAATTAACTTTTGTAATTACATTTTTAAATACACTGTTGACCATCCCTTACACCTTAACCCACCCTTAAACCTACCCACACTACCAAACCTGTCCATAACTCAACCTCTATCCCAACTCAAAAGCACCACAAGTGTTTTCAAATACATTATGAACACAGTAAGTACATTGTATTTATTTTTTTCATGTAAGTGCAGAGTAGTTAAGGACACTTAATATAAAGTGGGACCGTTAATTCAGGTAGTTTGATTAGTAAGAGGTTGAAATTATGTACTGCTGGTTTGCCTTCAGAAACAGGGTTGGGTTCTACAAGGCACATAAGACGTATTCTAATGGACTCACATCACGGCAGCACGTAAAACAGTCATGAGGGGCTGAGTCAGTGGTTCAGAGCCCCTGTTGATTAGGACTTCCAGAGGTGGGAGCACATCTTTCCACAGAGAGCTTCTGATAGGCTCTTCACACTGAGAGAGAACCAGTGACAGCAGCTGCACGCCCTGGAGGACCTGCGGATGATTCTCTGAGCTCAACGCCTCAACCACAGCATTCGTAATCTCAGAGGAGACTGAAACCCAATCAAGACTCGAAGAGGATTTACTGGATACCACAGCATCACTGCCGCTGGTCACGTCTGATGGGGTGAGGAGCTTTAGGATCTGCACTAATAGCTGATTAGCTAAACAGGCAACAAACAGACTCCTGTCGTTCTGCAGCTGAAGGATCACTTTGATGAGTCCTGTAGGTAAAATAGAATACAGTAAGTCTTAAATGGATAGTATTTTTTTTCCAAGAATGTTGGTAACTTACAGCTAGGCCCAAATAAAATTTGCATGCGCAGAAATCCACAGACTTTTAGCCTTTTGAGTCTATTTATTGACTTATTTGTAGATGTGTGTTAATCTATTTATTTAGTTTTTTTATTATTAATTTCAGTAATATTATTGACAAATATGAAAATGTTCATGATTTATTTACCGTACAATACAGTTTGTAAATTAATATTTCTGTCTTTTAGTAGATATATAATATAATAGACTTGCTTTGTCTACCAATTAAGTGGATGGAGTTGGATTTGCATCGTAAACATTAAATAAAAAGAAAAAGGTATTATTTTTTATTTTATTTTTATATATTATGTTTTTAGTTATGATACTCCAAAAATCATTCCACGTAAATCTGCAGATATCTTTTTACAAATATATAGAAGTAGCTAAATGTACACAGATTCTGTCTGGCCCTATCTATAGCAAATGATGTAAATCCTACTTGTTGAAAATACTCTTGCTTTAAATAATATAGATTATTTTTCAAGAAAGAGATTCTTTTATGCTCACTGACACTACATGTATTGGTGGACACTCAAACGGTAATATTAAATGTATTTACTCACATGAACCAATAATGAACAATACTTTACAGCATTTAATCATAGTTCAACATTTACTAATGCATTATTAAAATCCATATTCATACTTGTTAGCATTAGTTAATGCACTGCAGGTTAACCTTCGTGTTTTTCCATTAACTAAAAATAGCAATGATGAATAAATACTATAAATGTATTGTTTATTGTTCTTTCCTGTTAATGAATACATTACCTCAAATTAATGAATCCAACCTTATTGTAAAGTGCTACTCATTTATTTGATCAGAAACACATTATAAAGTGTCATACTTAGATATTGTATAACCAATATATTTTCCCATTATTTGCATTTATCAATGGCATTTATTCCAGAGATAGTAAAGCTGGATATTCAGCATCGTTGAAAATCTTTTTAAATCTTTACTATGTTAATTTGCTGTTCTAAAAACATTACCTACTATTATCAATGCTTAAAAGAGTTCTGGGTGTTAATATTTTTGTAATTTTTTTTCAGGATTATCTGATGAATAGATACCTCAAAACAGCAGCATTTATTACAATTAAACATACTTACTGATACTTTTGATTAATGTAATGCATTCTAGCTGATTATTCATTTATAAAACAAACTGATAGGTCCAAGTTTAATAAATAAAAAAAATCAAAATCAAGATCTAATTTACTTGTCAATATTTCCCCCACATTTTATAGTGATGACAGTATTCACCTTGTCTACAGATAAAGTCTAGGGCTTGCTGGTGTTTCAGCATATTCAGCAGTCCCTGTATCCAGCCACTGCGAACGGAGGCATCCTCCCAGAGATCACACACACTCCAGGCTTCCCGCTCAAACACACACACCAAATGACCTCCCTCCTTATTTCCATAAAGAAGACAAAAAACATCTGAATGTAAAACATCTGCAGACAACAGCACAGCACTGTTTGATGTTGTTTTGATGTTAGTGCCATAACAGTGATTCCTAATAAAGTGTCCTAAGCAAGACTTGTAAGCACTGGATTGTATTATTTATAATAATATAAAATCAATTTCAAAAACATTTTATTCTACTGCTGGTTTCTGTGAATATATTTCAATTAGCATTAAAACTCCCATTACAGTACAAGTTCAAGAAAAACCTTGAGGGACTTCTGTATGGGTGTAATACAATCTGCCACTTATATTGTGACAAATGGCACAATCTTGGCTAACTGCCTCACCTCAAGCAAGTGAAAATCCTGTTTGCTGGCAGCCAGAAGTCCAGTAAGTTTGAGGGTGAAAGACAGGATGGCAGGATCTGTGGCTTTAGATGCACAAACACTGGAAATAAACTCCAAGAGACACGGCTGATGCTCTAAAAGTACCTGCCCGTTACCTGAGAACAACAACACAAAAATACAATAAAGAGTTACTAGCAGACATGAGTATCTTCAAAAACAGAGTTTTGAAGAACAGAAAACTAAGCAAATATGTAATTATTGTGTGTGTGTGGGTGTGTGTGTGTGTGTGTGTGTGTGTGTGTGTAAAAAACACACATACTGTAAAACATAAGGGCTGCACGATATTGGAAAAAAACTGAGATTGCGATATTCAGTTTGTCTGCGATATATTTTGCAATATGATTATAATGTCATAAGATGACTTATAGCTCAATTTGGAATTAATTCATGATTTTGTATTGATTGGGCTATTACTTTTATGTTTTTTTATAGAATCCAACAGTATTGAGGTACAGAAATCTGATGATCGTCATAATAATAATAATAATATACAAAATAACATGTATTAGTGTATAGTCTTCCTTGTATAAATCATTTTTAAAAATGTAGGTTTATATACCTTTATAACAGCTTGGTTTAGGTTTACTTAAATCAAGTGAAAATCTTTTAATCTATTTTAGGGTTAAAATTTGTGATGTCCCCACAAATCATATATTTTGAACTGTACTCCCAACTCAACATTGCACATCCTGCCATGTGACTATTGCAGACTCACACTTTGTGATATCAACACTGAAACGATATATATATAACTGGGCAACGTGGTGGTGCAGTGGGTAGTGCTGTCACCCCACAGCAAGAAGGTCACTGGTTTAAGCCTCGTCCAGGTCAGATGGCATTTCTGTGTGGAGTTTGCATGTTCTCCCCATGATCGCGTGGGTTTCCTCCGGGTGCTCCGGTTTCCCCCACAAGTCTAAGAAATGCGGTATAGGTGAATTGGGTAAGCTAAATTGTCCATAGTGTATGTGCGAACGAGTGTGTAGGGATTTCCAATTGATGTTTTGCAGCTGGAAGGGCATCCGCTGTGTAATGCTGGATAAGTTGGTGGTTCATTCCGCGGTGGCGATGCCAGATTATTAAAGGGACTAAGCCGAAAAGAAAATGAATGAATGAATAAATATATATCAACTGTCAGGAATGGAAGGCACAGGATTGAGGGGTGTTGAATGCTACATCTATACTGCCTATATCTGACTGATGAAGGCATTTCAAGAGACAGGAAGTGTCTTGATGCCTTCATAACAATATCTATTTCCAGCACTTTGTTGAAAACCACAACGAATTAGGCTGCTAGGAAGAAAAAACGCTTTTGCAAATACAACATATGAGAATAGTTGTATTTCCCTCAAACACAGACACTGTCATCTCAGCACTCAACCAAAACTTCTCAACTAACGTTAGCCGTATCAGTTTGTTTCAGGTTACTGACTTTGGCTGTGCAGATCTTTGAACCAGTCCAACAGTTTCTCAAGAGAGGTGTCATCCGGTGGAGTCTGCTTCGGGTCGGCCAGAACGAGGCAGACCGCTGGCAGCAACGACGAGCAGTCACCGTCCATCAAATACAAGTCCCTGAATCACCTGCACATTGAACTGAAAGTGACAACAACAAAACATGGCGTAACCAAATATGGAGAAATTATTCAAACGTTTGTCAACACACTCAAACGCGACTAGAACAACACAGTGAGTATAATAAAATACCTTTTCTCTCGTCACATTTACAACAGTCTGTTATCAATGTTGCCTCCTCGTACTGTATTATTTTCGCTCCGTACGGCGAGCTGGAAAGGACAAACGAAACGACAAGCTGAGCGTTGACGCTTTGATGCTGTGCATGCGCAAATCCAGCGCACTTTAATGTTCTCGAGTAGCGTAACCAACTATCACTCGTTAGAAGTGTCTAGAAGGGATACAGCTGCGGATACTCACGTAATTAATACTTTACGTTACTGTGAGGGTTGGGTTTACGGTTGGGGAAGGGGTTAGACGTTATTAAAATACGATTTAATGAGTCATTTACTAAATAAAATAAACATTATTCGGTATTATTAAGTTACTGTTTTTACTGTGAGGGTATTTTATCAACGTCTACCCCAACCCTAAACCTTAAGGTTTAGGTTTAGGGTTGGGGTAGACGTTGATAAAATACATTTTAATGTGTAGTTTAATAAATAATATGAATAATACTCGGTGTAATTATTATTTTACATTGCTATGAGAGTTTTTGGGGTTGGGGTAGACATTATATAAATACAATTCAATGGGTAATTAAATAATACTTGGTATAATGGTTGTTTTTACATTACTGTGAGGGGTAGACGTTAATAAAACACATTCGTCGACAATTTAATAAATAATATAAATAATTAACTTCCAGTCGCAGCTGTATCCCTTTTAGCAACAACTTCTTCACTTGCATTGCATGACAGCGGACGCTTTTGAGTTCATAACTGTGCGCAGTCTGGAGGCAGCAAACGTTATCTGACACATTTATACTAGTAATTGTCTAAGAATAAAGCAAACATACAAAACTCACACTCTACAAACCTAGTCCGTGAGATGCAGGACACGGTAAATATGGCGGCTGAATCTGAATTTGAAGAAGAGGAGCCTCCGTTCAGCGACGCGGAGGATTTTGAGGATGATGTCGAGGATGAAGGTAAAGATGCTGCGGTGAATGATGGCACCGCAGCATCACTTCAACTGTTGTTCATAATTTACCGGCTCACACTGCAATGCCAATGTTTCAGACATATTACAATGCAATAAATATGTTTGCGCAATGCATTGAATAAACATGGATAGATGTATCTATAAATTTGACATCATCAGAGAAACACGTGCATGCTCGTTCGGTACTTTTCCCGCGTTCATTATAATCTGTTTTGTTTCATTATGTTTTCTAGGGGGAGAAATGAGGATGATACCTCTTTACATTGATTTGCTGAAGATTTGCTGAAGAACCTGTTTATACACCAAAATATGTTTAATATATAAATAGTGTTTTATGGTTTTCAGGGCAGTCAAACAGTATTTAGGTACAGAATTTGAGTAATCAAATGAAATAACATTGCAAAAATTATTCAATAACATTATTCATAATTAAAATTGCAAAGGGTAAAATTGTCATTCATTCATTTTAGTTTAACTCTGCAATAACTACTCAATTTTCATGTGTTTCTCCTGGTCAAATATAATCATAACTTGACATTGCAGATCCGGCGATGTGACTACTGCAGAAGTGCACATTGCAAAATTGATGCTGAAACCATGTATTGTGCAGCCCTAACCTTAATAGTCATTTCCAATAGTTTCCAAATTTTTTTTCACATTTTTACTACTAAAATTTCAGAACTTTTCCATGACTTTTCCAAAACTTTGAGGTAAATATTCATGATGTTTTATGTAATGTCAATGTTCACGTGGTAAACAAGAAACACAGTGTATGTTCAGATTTATTACAGCATATCAACAAATATGTGACACTCTGTGTAGTTTCTATTTAGTTTTACATCTGCAAAATAGTTTTTAGAAAGTATCTTGCTGTCCGTGTGAAGCTATTTAAGAAATGTTGGCTTGTGTTATAAATGATAGTATATTGTATTATTAATGAGCCTTTAGCACCCACAGTATCTTACCTCTGTAGTTATTTAAGATTGTTTCTTGACACGACACTCAAAATGTTTCTTTAGTTACGATGAAAGCGAATGAAAGAAAGTTGTGAAAAGACAGCCAGCGCATTTGTATTAAAAATTTACCCAATATTATTATCTCAAATATATTCAAGTACACAGATATTTGTTAAACAACTTTTCATGACTTTTTCAAAACAATTTGGGTTTATTTGTTTTTCCAAAACTTTTCCAGGCCTGGAAAATGCTTTGTCAATATTCCATGACTTTTCCAGATTTTCCAGTACCGTATGAACCCTGAATACATTATCTGTGTGCTTTTACGCAGAATTGTTGGAGGATGTTTTGAGAGACAGACCTCTGGAGGCTGATGGCATTGATTCGGTGGTCGTGGTGGACAACGTTCCTCAGGTGGGCCCTGAAAGACTGGAAAAACTAAAAAATGTGATCCATAAAATCTTCTCCAAATTCGGAAAAATCACAAACGAATTTTATCCTGAAGCAGCTGGGACCACCAAAGGGTAAATCAATGACTTTCAAATGTAAAGATTTAGCAGATAAAACCATAAAATATGACCATAATGTGGTATCAGATGTGAAACAGCAGCCGTGTTTTTGTTCTCAGGTACATCTTTCTGGAGTATGCTTCCCCTAACCAGGCTCTGGAAGCGGTGAAGAGTGCAGACGGTTACAAGCTGGACAAACAGCACACATTCAGAGTCAACCTCTTCACAGATTTTGACAAGTATGTTTTGAGTAGGTTTATATATTTGAAAGCAGAATATAATGGTTATGATTGGTTTATGACTCTTTGCCCTGACTTTATCTTATGTGGCCTTAATTAATTAATTAAATAAATTAATCTGCGCATCTAATTAAGGAAAAAAATATTTTGCCCCCGTAATCCTAAATTAAAATCTAAAAAGCACTTTCTGCTTGTTTTGAGTTAAATTCTCAGATTACAATCTATCTGAGCTATTGGGTGTGGGAAACATACATAACCACACCCCTCCAACTTTTGACAACAAACGGCAATGGTGAGGAGGAGGAGTCTTGTTACATTGTAATAACTCTTCTGAAACCCTTTTCTTAATCTTTCTGAGATAAATGCCAACTTTACTACATGCACTCAGCTTGCAGTAGAAATCAAAAAGCCATGCCCACTGTTTTCTCATTTAATATTTAATTTCTTTAGAAGCTGTCACAGTACGACAAAAAAAAACTTTAATGCAGACTTTAATCCACCGTTAAACATGTCCCTATCATCAAACCTGTCCCCATCTTTACCTTTATCCCACCTCAATAGCACCAGAAGAATTGTGCAATACAGCATGAACAAATATATATATATATATATATATATATATATATATATATATATATATATATATATATATATGTAGTAGTTAAGGCTATTTGATTTAAAGTGAGGCCAACTCTTTTGTCAGCTTTAAAAAATAAGAATGATTTCCTATACAGATATTCATGAATCATGTATCTGTGTGTTTCAGGTACATGAACATCAGTGATCTGTGGGAAACCCCTGAAAAACAGCCATTTAAAGACTTTGTATGTAGTTTTGCATCTGTATTTCTTTATTTTGATAACAATTTATGAATACTTAAAAAACCTAGTTAAAACACATCAGGATATTTTAAACTATTGAAATATGGGTTTATGGCTTGGTATCTGTTTGTTTCAAATGAGAAGCTATTTATGTCTTGGCATTACATCATTTCATTTCCCTTCTCTGTTAACTGCAGGGCAACATGAGGCACTGGCTTGAGGATCCAGACTGTCGTGATCAATACAGTGTAATCTATGAGTCGGGAGAGCGAACCGCCATATTCTCGAATGACCCAAAGGAGCCGATACTGGTGGAAGAGAGAGCTGTGAGCACATTTACTTGTAAACGGATTTGCTTCAGTGTTATTTTAGTGTTAGAGTTTTGCTTCAGTATTATATAAGCATTTATTTTATGCTATTTCAGTATTTATTCATATTTTAAATTTACTATTAATTTTGTTTTAGCTTATGTTTTTTCGTTTTTGGTTTTCATAGTTCTATTTGGATTGAGCAAAATATAGGGAAATTTAGTTTTCTTTCAATCAAAAAGTATTTACTATCTGCTCCTAAGACATTTCTTAAAGTGTTAAAAATTATTCATAATTTACATTTTACAAATGTGGTAACCTTCTTTTTTCTCATGCCAAAAAAAATGTGTGTGCATGTGTCCATATAATGGCAGTGAATGCACTGATTTGGAAATTTTGTAAAATATCAAAAAGTCTTTACATTTGGAAGCAGACAAATGACATATAGTCTGATAAAAATAAATCTTTATGTATATATGTCTGAGCCTAAATAGAAAAAAAAAAATGTAAAATATTTCATTTTAAAATTATTTTATTTAAAAAAATTAACTGAAGAAAACAGCAAGGAAACATCTTCATCTTTTCCAAACTCGGAAAAGACGGAAAAACATTGTGTATTTACATTATGTGGAAACAATACAACATTTACTGTCCATAAATTGATGTACATTTATTTTCTTATCAACTGATAGTGATAATATTTAAATTCATTCATCAGCCGATTACAATATGTCCACTAATATATTGTACATCATTATTATCAATATATTAATATGTGCACCATTTCTACACTGTAAAATATTATATGACAAAAATGTTTTTTTTAATAAGTTAATCAAGGTTCAACATTTTTTAAGTTATACATGGTTTAGCTTAATATTTTACTCAGTTTGAATTATAGTTGAGATAGCTAGAAAAATGTATAAAAATCAACAAATAAAATTATTCAGCAAGGCACTGTATCATGCTTTGTTCATTTTGTGTCTTACTGTGGGTGAGCCAGAGTAAACCGTGTGCTATATGTGTCATGAATAATGAATCATGCTTAAAATCAAATGCTTACACAATCAGGATGTTCATAAATAATAATTTGGGTTTGTTATTCACCAAGCCCAAGCATATATCCCTGAAACAATTGTCACATAGGACCATCCTTTGATAGGGGAGAGCGGGGACAAAAGTAACGTGGGACTAAAGTAACAAAGCAATTTTCTCTAAGCCCTGACAACATTTGCTTTCCTGGCTATAACAGGACATTCTCCATGCAACCCTTGATGGAGCTGCTAAAAATCAGCAACTTTGGGGATTTTGAGCGCCACTTTTTTTTTTT